CTGTCTGTCTGTCTGTCTGTCTGTGTGGCAGTGGTGGGTTTCAAATTTTTTTGGAACCTCTTCTGTAGGTGTGGCCTGCTTTCCGGGTCCACTGGTGGAACCTCTTCTAACCAGTTTGGTAGATTTGACGAACCGGTTCTACCGAATAGGTGCGAACTGGTAGGAACCCACCTCTGCAATGGGGGATGATGAAACATTTAAGTTCAGTGAGTGTAAGTAAGAAAAACAAATCATAACAGATTTGGAAGATGAAGAAGAAGGCTGAATATCAGAGGATATGTTATGGTGCAAATGAACTGTAAAGAAAAACCAGTTTCCACATAACATGAAAGAGATTCATTGCTCTCACTAGACATGAAATAGTAAACATCTTCTGACCTATGATTATAATCTGTGAACCGCTTCTCACTAGGATGTGGAGGCAAAGGGGGTGGGACTTCATTTTCAGCTGTGCCGCTTTCAAAGTCTGAAATTTAAAGGGAAAAACAGTAAACAACGGTAGAAAGTAGATATTTGTCTCCTGGCCAAAGAACTGAACTGCCATGCAGCATCTGTCTTGAAGTAGCATCAAATTTATACAAATCTCCAAACTAGAATTAAAAATACACCAAGCAAAAAAAAAATATTTCCCCCTTAGGATTTTCAACAGACCTGATTCCTGTTTGCTCATGTATAATTAAAGATAAACATATTGAAATTCGCCTTATGATGAAAAATGAAAGCCCTATGTTGATTTTAGTAATTTCACTGGATTTCCCATATCTCGGCTTGAGCTAAGACTTAAATAAAACACTCAATGGGTGCGTAGATGCTCAACTATGCTGCCATATAGTTAAAACTGTGATTAGGTTCTATTTTGTTATCCTCCAATTGTTATGTATTAGAAAACAAATAAATAATATATACCAACGGATAATGAAAGCATGCTCAGTGATTTCTGTTAATATTCTGAATCTGAGGGTATCAACCACGTGCAAAATTACTCTCTTATGCTGTTGCTGTCTGAAACATACATGACATGCATATTCCTCCCAAGGTAAGGAAAAAAAAAACATTTCCAAGTTAAGTGAAGAAAAGTATAATGAATTCGATATTGACCTTCTATCCCATTGAGAGCTGGGAATCTTATTAACTAATAGATGCTTTTAAAGGGGAAGTAGTTTGGGGGGGGGAGTAGAGAAATCTGAATATATTAATACCATCCACAAGCTCTTATTATCTTCGTCCAGAAGCTTTAAGAGACAAAATAAAGAAGTCTGACCTTCTGGAACAAATTATGAAAGAATGAGTAACTGAATATTTTATTATAGCCCAAAGCCAGCAACTTACAACAGCCTATGGACATTGAAATGTCCAGACAATAAGCAGATAACTGGGGAAAATTTAGTTTACCAGTTTTGCTGGCAACCCTTACATGCAGCTCCACAAAATTTTGCTACCTTCTAAGTTCCAGCAGACCAATTTTCTGTAAGTAAAATGGTAAGCAGGAATTCATGAGTGCAATCTGGGAAGCGTGCTAACAAGATTGCAATATAATTACTGGGTACATCCCTACAAAATGTGAACATAACAGGACCTACCAACTGCTTTGGAAGTTATGCGTTCAATAGGGTTTTGGTGGGGTTTTTTTTAATCTGCCTTTCTGCAGAGCAGCACATGGACAGTAAATTGTTCTGCAGTAGTTAGGCTACACACTTCCAAGATAAGGAAATGCAGACCCCATTCTAGTTGTGGCAGGAAGGGTTCAAATTAATTTTAAAACAAGAGTTTAAAAAAAGTGTAGTGGAGTCTAGAGGAGTGGTGGGTTTCAAAAAATTTTTGAATCTACTCTGTGGGTGTAGCCTCCTTTGTGGGAGTGGCTTGCCAGCCATGTGACCTGGTGGGAGTGGCTTGCCGGCCATGTGTTCTCTCTCTCTCTCTCTCTCTCTCTCTCTCTCTCTCTCTCTCTCTCTCTCTGTGTGTGTGTGTGTGTCTTTCCTTCCTTTTGTCTCTCTGTCCCTTTTTCCTTTTTTCTTTCATCTCTCTCTCACTTTTTCTTTCTTTTTTTCTTCTTTTCTTTCTTTCTTTCTTCCTTTTTTTCTCTTTCTCTCTCTGTGTGAGTGTGTGTTTGTGTGTGTGTGTGTGTGTGTGGTGGGTTTCAAATTTTTTTGGAACCTCTTCTGTAGGTGCAGCCTCCTTTCCGGGTCCACTGGTAGGAACCTCTTCTAACCGGTTCGGTAGATTTGACGAACCGGTTCTACCGAACAGGTGCGAACTGGTAGGAACCCACCTCTGAGTGAACCCCTTTGTGGGACTAAGGGTAACACAGTACATCAAGCTTTGACACAACTATGATGCTTTCAACCACAGAAAAGCATGGTTCACCAGCGGTGAGGATACAAAATTGGCTGAGACATTCAGGATGCTTAAACAAACGTTTAGGCTAAATCTAAGTATCCTTCCCAACTCTGGTATCAGGAGGCAGCCTCTGACCCAGCTAGTCAACTAGAAAAGAGAGACATTATTCCCAGAAGTGATATTTCTCACTACTCTGGTCTTTAAGAGCCAAGGTGGCGCAGTGGTTAAATGCAGCACTGCAGGCTACTGCTAGATCAGCAGTTCAGCGGTTCAAATCTCACCGGCTCAGGGTTGACTCAGCCTTCCATCCTTCCGAGGTGGGTAAAATGAGGACCCAGATTGTTGTTGGGGGCAATATGCTGACTCTCTGTAAACCGCTTAGAGAGGGCTGAAAGCCCTATGAAGCGGTATATAAGTCTACTGCTATTTATAAAATACAGAGTTTTGTTTGAACATTAATGGATCAAAAATTCTAAATAATTTGGCGTGCATTTATTATCACCTTTTCTATGAATACCATGAAATGTTTTTTTCTTTTTTAATTTGAAACATTTATTACCATTTTTGTTAAAAATGAAGGGATATTTTGCTGTGACACCATAATTTTAAAATATGAAGTTCTGCAACGTAATTTTTTTTTCTTGTGAAAATAATAGTGGAAACAATACTAGAACGAATGGTAGGGAAAATAAAATAGATTGTTCAAGGCAAATAGGATTCCCTGCATACATAAGTAAATTTGAATCAATGGCATCCGGGAACATAACTTTAGTCTGATGTAGCTGCAAAAAGTTGTGCATATAAAATACAGAGTATAATCTGTAACTGTCTTAATTCGATAGATTAATCAACCTTGATAGTTGATTAATCAGTGGGGAGCAATTTTAATTAGTACAATAAAAGTCCACTTTTGTTTATTTTTTCAAAGCTATAATATTTCATATTATATTATAATAATTATATTGTAATATAATATTTCAATTCTCATACATTAAATTGTAATAACGAACTAAAACATCCAAACTTCCAATGTTTATGGCATTCAAATCCAATCATACCAGGCACTAATAAGTGAAAATAATCAGCATCCTCAGGATAAACCAAGATTTGCAGATATGAAGAAAACAAGACAAATGCATGAATAAAAACTACACAAACTTTTAAAAGCAAAACAGATCTGAACG